ACCCAACCCCCACACCAGCATGCAGAGGACATTGAACATGGAGTCAAGGTACATGATTTGCCAGATTTGAGATTTAACGCCTGCCCTGCTGGGTTTCAGACTTGTTTGGGACCTGTTACACCTTTCTTTTGGCCTATTTCTTCCTTTTGGAATGGGAATACATACCCTATGTTTGTTACACAATTGTATTTTGGAAGTAGATAACTTGTATTGATTTCACAGATGGGACTTTGAACTTTGGAGTTGAAACAAGTTAAGGCTTTGGGGATGAAATGAATATATCTGCATGTGAAAAGGACATGAGTTTTGGGGGGCCAGGGGTAGAATGTAGTGGATTGAATTATGTCTCCCCAAAACTCATTGAAGCTTGAATTGTATTCCCCAAGTTTTAGGTATTAGAAACTTAGCCCCTACTGTGACTATTAAGAGGGTGGGAAATCCTATTATGGGAATTGAAAGGTGGAACTTTGAAGGGGTGATTGGATTGTAGGACCATGCAGTAGTGAATGGATTATAAATGGTGGTCAGGGGAGTGGTTCTGAGGGCTTTGAAAGAAGAGAGTCTGTCTTTCTCTCTGCTCTCTCTGCTTCCACCATCTTGTAATGTGAAACCCCTGGGTCACTGTCACCACCACCAGATGGACTTTGGACTTCCCAGCCTCAAAAACTATAAGCAATAAATGTCATTTTTCTTCAATAAAAAAAAAAAAAATATATATATATATATAGAAACAATATTGTTCTAGGTATCTATTGATGCATAAAAAATTACATCAAAACTTAGAGGCTTAAAACAGTAAACAATTATTACCTTATTCTTTCTGTGGGTCAGGACTTTGGAAGAGGCTTAGCTAGACAGTTCTGGCCCAGGGTCTCATAAAGTTGCAGTCCAGATGTTGGCAGGGGCTGCAGGCAGCTGAAGGCTTGACTGGAGCTGAAAGATCTACTTCCAAGATCACTTTTGAGTTTTTTTTCCTCTCATTAAGTAAGTTGTTTTATACTTTCCATTTATAAAATACATTCGTAATACCCTACTATGTGTATATGTTACTATTTATAAACCATGATAGTTATTTGTAAATGATAAGTTCTGGTCACTTTAAATTTGGATCATCATTTAAATAGTTGAAGTAATCTTTTGATAACTTACAGACCACAGTGGCTTACTGAGGAGGGGAATATTGCTGCTGCTGTGCCTCTCTGGCTTGGCCATTTATTCAAACTTCCTGTGTCCCAGTTCCCATCCAGCTAAGTGGATAATGGCATTTATTTTTGGTTCAAAGGGATTATTATATGCACTAAACCTTTAAATACATTGACTTCTTTATTAATTCTAATATGAATATTTATTTATTTATTATTTATTATTTTTTATTTTTTTCCTTTTTGTCTTTTTTACTGACCGGTAACAGGATCGCAACCCTCGGTGTCACGCCCGTACTGGGGACCGGCAACGGGATCGCAACCCTCAGTGTTGCGCCCGCACCATGCTCAGCCAGTGAGCGGGAACCGGTCTCCACATGGGATCTGAACCCTCAGCGGGAGCGCCAAGCAGCACACTCTCCAGTGCGCCACCGGGCCGGCCCTTTATTTTTTATTTTTTTAAAGATGACTGGTAAGGTGATCTTAACCCTTGTCTTGGTGTTATCAGCACCATGCTCAGCCAGTGAGCAAACCGGCCATCCCTATACAGGATCTGAACCCGTGGCCTTGGTGTTATCAGCACCACACTCTCCGGAGTGAGCCACAGGCTGGCCCGAGTATTTATTTTTTAAAGTAGAGATGATTCCTAATTTGTAGCATTATAAACCCTGAGGTTTATAGAAAGTATTCATGACCTTGTAATGCAGGTATCCTTTGTATTTTTTGCATTTTGGCCATATATCTTGATTGAAAGTACCTGGAAATCATTATTTCCTCATCCTGGAAGAATTTTTAGAAAGTAGTTCAATCTTAGTGCTTTAGAAAACAATTTTCATATTGCAGATGATCAAGAATTTGAGGATTGTTGTAGACTCCATTATCATTAAAAAAATAGTTGTTTTCTGCAAAGTATTCTTCACATAAGGAACCTTCATAAGTTTATTTTATGTGAAGATACAGAAATCTTTTGTACAGACTCTTCATGTGTCAACTAATACATAACTGAACAAAATATTTTTACATTATACTATAAATTTGACTTGAGATTGTATACGATTTTATTAATGCTAATTAATGTTATATATTTTAATGTTTCTGTTAATATATATTTATAGTGTTATAAATATGTTTCTATAATTTTTAAGTACACTTAAGAGGCTGTCTTTTACATCACAGTCTGAGTTTACTTCTGGCTTTAACTTTTCAAAGTAGCTTTATTGGTTTTATGGTCATAATAGTAAGACATTAAAATTTTTTAGAAAATCAAAGAAAGAAAAAAAAAGTGATCACATTCGTAAGGCCACCACTGAGAGAATTGCAAATGCTGAATCAAAGTGTTTGCTTATTTTTTTGTGGTTTTTGATGCATGGGCAAATTGCCCATAGAAAGGTTAGACCAAGGGTTGTGTGGTTAGTTCAGTGATTAGAGCATGGTGTTGACAACACAAAGATCCAGGGTTTAATCCCTGTACCAGCCAGCAGCCAAAAAAAGAAAGGTTATGCCAATTTATACTCTTGCTAGTAATCTATGAGAGTGATCATTTCCCCACTGCTACTAACAGAGAGTATTAGTAATCTTTTGTGAACCTTACCTTGAAATTATGTTGTTTTAATTTTAATTCAATCGATTACTAATAAACCTGACATCTTTTCATAATTTTTTTGACCATTCATATTTCTTCCTTTTCCACATTGCCTTTTCATATACATTGCCCATATTATTTTGGCGATACTTATTTTTTCTTATTACTTTCTAGAGTCCTTAATAAATCAAGGCTACTAATCTTTCTCTGTCATAAATATTCTACATTTTCTCCATTTATTTGTCTTTAACTTTGCCATGGAGAAGTTTTGGCATTTTTCTGTAATCATGCCTTTCAATTTTTTTTTTTTAAAGATGACCGGTAAGGGGATCTCAACCCTTGGCTTGGTGTTGTCAGCACCACGCTCAGCCAGTGAGCAAACCGGCCATCCCTATATAGGATCCAAACCCGCGGCCTTGGTGTTATCAGCACCGCATTCTACCGAGTGAGCCATGGGCCAGCCTATGCCTTTCAAATTTTTAAAAATAATTTTGAGGGGCCGGCCCAGTGGCACACTGCTACAGTGCGCTGCTTGGGAGCACGGCGGCGCTCCTGCCGAGGGTTCGGCTCCCACATACGGACCGGTTCCCACTCACTGGCTGAGCGAGGTGCGGGCGCAGCGCCAAGGGTTGCGATCCCGTTGCCGGTCCCGGTCCGGTACGGGCGCAACACTGAGGGTTGCAATCCGTTGCCGGACACGAAAAAAGACAAAAAAATAAAAATAAAAAAAAAATAATAATTTTGAGCTCATCTAGCTAGCTAGACTATGTAGAAGTCTGTTTACAAATTCATATAAACATCCCAAATTTGATAACCGAGCTGATTACAAAAGCTGTGTAACCGTGCAAAATTTTCAGGCTGCTAGTCAATTAAATTGATTTCCTTTCTTAATTTAACTAGAGAAATGGTCTGTATTGCAAAACCCTAATCCATGTGGATATGACATTTTAAAATCTAAAGTTGTTTGACTCTCTAAAACTGTGTATTATACAGACTGAAAGCCAATGATCCAATCTAGGCTTCATTTGATGATGGGTTTTCTCCAGTAGTACTTAGCAGTTATAGCCTTTTCCAACCTACTGATTACCAGCGTGGACTGGTTATTTCCTGTTCAGTATAGCTAAAACTGTGTATTATACAGACTGAAAGCCAATGATCCAATCTAGGCTTCATTTGATGATGGGTTTTCTCCAGTAGTACTTAGCGGTTATAGCCTTTTCCAACCTACTGATTACCAGCGTGGACTGGTTATTTCCTGTTCAGTATAGCGTATTTGAGATTTTTCTTCTAATGCATCTTGAAGGGAGATAGAATCCCCCTCTCCTATATTTGTAAAAAGATCATATACTATCTTTTCCAACCTTCCTTGCAGCTAGGATGTGGGCATGTGATCTAGAATTAGCCAATGAGATATATACCCTTCCCCACTCCAAAGTTTGTGTTGAGAGCAAGGAAACAAATGCTGCCAAGACTCTTTTATGGCAGCAGCAGGCAGGACAGCACTGGCAGCCATGCCAGAGGTATATCTGGTGACATGGGTTTGGGCAGTGCAAGCTAGTCTTGGTGGCAGGGAGGTCTTCACCAGAGCAGTTGTCTAGTGTCATTTTGACTGAAGTTCTTGAGGGATAGCTTTGAAGCCTGGTGCTCGAAACCTGGGCAAGACTGTGATTTCCCAGTATCATTTTAATAAATTTCTTTTTTGCTTATACTTCCAAGAGTGTTTTCTGCTCCATGCATTTAAGAACTCTAACTGATAACAGTATCTGGGCTAAAGAATACATCATTTCTTCTACCAATTAGGAATTGTGCACCCATTATCTCCCCCACCCCCCCTACTGTGCACATACTTGGTCTGATTCTAGACTTTGTATTCATCTTTCAGTATTCACATTATTCTGCATTTTTAAAAGTTTGTCAGCATTTACTTTTTCAAATGAAATTTAGAATCATCTTGTGAAATTCTAAAATAAAATCCCTTTATGATTTGATTAGAATTATATTACATTTATAGATTAATTTGAAAAGATTAACACCATCAGTGTTATCTTCGTTTTTTTTTAATAATTAGTTTAAAAAAATTTTTTTTTTACATTCTAAGATGTTGTTGCAGAGTAGTGGGAGCGGGAGGGGGAGTCGGGGGGCAGGGCTGGCCCATGGCCAGCTCCTTCGTTTGCCTGGTTGCAGAGGAATGTTGTCTTCTTATGCAGTAAAATGATCTGGCTTGTGTATCAGTTTCCACCAAAGAAGCATACTACTTTGCGTGCTAAAGAATAAGGGATTTATTACAGGGGTTGGACTTTGTGGAATTGTGGGAGCTAGTAGAGCAGTCTGTGCAGGCTGTTGCCTCTGAGTCCACGTGGAGCCTGAAGCTGCTGCAGATCAGCTGGACTGGCAGTCAGGGATGCTGGATGTGGATGAGAGCAAGGACAAACTGAAACCCTTGGGGACAAACTGGAACCTGCACTGGCCTCTTGCCAACTCAAATTTTGATGCTGTGGGTGACCTGCAGGAGAGTCTAACACCCTTGACCCTGGAGCTGCACATGCTGGCCCAGGATTTGGAGAAGCTGAAAGAAGATCTGATGGGAGGTGAAGGAGCTGCAGGTCCAGCTGCTTCCCCATGCCAACAAGGTAAGCTAACAGATCAGCAGCAATGCATGCGAACTCCACAGTGTGCCCTGCACCAACCTTCAGAGTGTAAAAAATATGGCTGCTGCTTCATTTCTGCTCCTAAATTGTATGCAAACTGTCTCCTGTGGCCAACACTACTCAGATCTATACAAGGAAGGGAACTGTGAGAAATGTAAGTCCAACTTAGCTGAGTTGACCAGAGCACAAGTCAGTTGATCTTTTTTGTTTTTTAGTAAAGTTTTATAGTTTTCTTCATATACATTCATGTTTAGTTTATTCCTTGGTATTCTGAGTTATTGCTGTTGTGAATGTTTGTTCTCCCATCTTTTTTTCTTATGATTATTGCTGGTATATTGAAAAAGTTATGTAGTATTTTTCTTGAATAAGCCATATTTTCCAACTTACATGTCAAGAGTTTTCAATTGGTTTTCTTGGATAGGCAGTAATTTAACTTGTGAGGTAGTATGATTAGTTTTTTCTTTCAGATAATAAAATGATACATTTTTTTCTTCTCTCCCCCTCCCTCCCTCCATTCCTTCCTTCCTTTCTTTCTTTCGCCTCATTGCATTGGTTAAAACTGTCAGAACAGGGTCATGATAGCTATACTGTTTCTGATTTTTAAGGTAATGTTTCTGGGTTTCATCAACCAAATGGTATTATCATTTTTGGTAAGCTAGTAGTTCTCAATGTTTAGTGAACGTAAGAATTACCTGGTATGCATACTTGATAAAAATGCAAATTCCCAGGAATGGATGTTGTCTTAGTCTATTTTCTGTTTCTTATAACAATATCTGAAACTGGGTAATTTATAAAGAAACAAAATTTATTTCTTACAGTTCTGGAGGCTGAGAAGTCCAAGGTCAAGGGGCCATATCTGGCAAGGGCCATCTTGCTGGAAGGGACTGCCTGCAGAGTCCCAAGGCAGTATAGGACATCATGGCTAGAGGGCTGAGTATGCTAGCATGCTAGCTCAGGTCTCTCTTTCTCTTATAAAGCCACCAGTTCTGGCCAGCCACCAAAAAAAACAAAGAAGATTAATTAATTAATAGCAAAGCCACCAGTTCTACTCTCATGATAACCTATTAATCCATTAACTCATTAATCCATTAATGGATTAATCCATTCATGAGGGCAGAACCCTCGTGATCCAGTCACCTTTTAAAGGCCTTATTTCTCAATACTCTTACATTGGGGATTAGTTTCAACATAAGTTTTGGTGGGGACAAACCATATTTAAACTATAGCAGATATTACATTTTACTAAATGCCTTTTAAGTATTTCATACATAATACCTGGTGCATAACAGATTCAACATATGATAGTTTCTCATTGTTTCATTCAACTAATATTTATTTAGCACATACTATATGCTGAGGATATAATGGTGAGCAAAGTAGACAAAGTCTTTGTTCTCTGAGCTTTTGTTTTCTTTCCTGAAATGCTTACAGAGTATAAACCCTTGAAAGATAGGCAAGTCTTTTGACTCTAAAGGTATTACTTGCACCACCATTTAAGCCTAGTTTTTTTGAGCTAATCAGGCCACTGTATTTTTCTCTTTTAACCTGTTAAAAAGAGATGAATTATATTGCATTGTGATCAGAGAATTTAGCCTGAATATTTCTACTTTTTAGATTTTATTGAAGTTTTTCTTATGGCTAAGTAAATGTGTTGTTAAATTTTATAAATGTTCCATGGACACTTGAAAAGAATGTGTATTCTTTGTAGTATACAAAGCTCTAGACCTGATTATGAAATCAATTTGTAATTATATTATTCATGTTATCTGTACCTTTTTTTGACTTCTAAATTTAATTTACATATTTTACTGCTGTGTTGTTTGATATGCAAGCATCTTATACAACTTTACTGTGACATGAATATCTTACCCATTTTAGTCCTACTTAACCACTTTTGCCTGGAATTCTGTGTTTGATGTTAATATTACCACTGCTGCTTTATTTTATTTATATTTTGTAGACTTAATATTTTCTTATCTCTTTATTTTCTATATTGTTAAGACTTTTGTTTGAGGTGTTTTCTTATGAACAGTAAGTCATATTTTCTTTTGTCCCAGTCTGATTGTGTTTGTCCCTTTATAGAGAAATTTAACACATTCACATTTTGGGGGGTATTCATACTTGATATGTTGGGTTCCTATTTCTTTTTTGTGGGGGGAGGTGTAAGTCTTTCTTTTTTCCTTTTTTTCTTTTTTCTGTTTTGCTGTGTTGATGTAGTTTTCTTTTTTTCTCCTCCTCTTAAATATTTAGAGGTTCTACTCCTCAATCCTCACCCCCTAAGAAATCATATATGGGTGTTATAATTTCTAAGGCAAAACTCTTAAAATTCCACGATTGTCACATAGGTACCATAATTCAGGTATGTTTAGAATCTTACAGTCATGATCCCTTTCTCTGAGAGCTCTGTAAATGTTACCCCACAATATTCTGGCACTTAGGGTTGATGACAATCACATTCTCTTTCTTTTGTAGATAACTTTTTTTTTTTTAATGACTTGGAAACTCTAAGGGTTTTATTTTTATGTTTGGAATTTATTTTTTTCTTTTAGCGTCCAAGTCTTTGTCCTTTATTTTCCCCCTAAGCTTTGGAAAAATTATTTGAAAGTGTTCTTATTTACTATGCATTGCTTCTATTGACTTTTTAGTTAATCACCCAGGTTTTTCATCTTCATAATCTCTTGTTTTCAGATTGCTCTTTTTTCACAAAAGCCTGATGTTGTCATTACCAACAAAATACATTTTTCTAACTTTTTTACATCTTTGTTCTAGTATAATTGACCCGGAATTAACTATATATTCTTAAAATATACAATTCGACACATATTGGTACATGTATGAAACTATGAACAATGAAACCTTCACAACAATCAACATTATGAACACGTGTGCCCCAGTGTCCTTATGCAACTCCTTTTTAATCATTCTTGCCTCTCCTGTCCCCCAGCATCCACTGATCTGCTGTCACTATAAATTAGTTTGCATTTTCTAGAATTTTATATAAATTGAATCATACTATGTATTCTTTTTAAAAACACATTTCCAAATGAAAATTTCAAACACACAAAAGTATCATAAAGTACAGCACATCTACATCTATAATCTATATTTAACAATTATAACATTTTTTCATATTTACCTCATTTATTTATTTTAAAGTAATAGACTTTATAAACCTAAATAGTTTTAGATTTACAGAAAAATTGAGCAGGTATTACAGAGTTCTCAGGTACTCCCTTTCCCCCTGCGTACATTTCCCCCTATTAACATTTGCGTTAGTGTGGTACATTTGTTACGATTAATGAACTAATATTGATACATTATTATTTGCATAGTTTACATTAGCGTTCATCCTTTATCGTGTACAGTTCTATGGATTTTAACTATGTACTTTTTTTTTTGGTTTCACTTAGCATAATTAATTATTTTGGGATTTATTCACATTTGTATGTATATCACTTGTTTGTTTCTTTTTACTCCATATTTTTTTGATCTGTTCATGTGTTGATGGACATTTGGGTTGTTTCCAGTTTAGAGCTAATGCAGATAATTGCTATGAACATTGACATATAAGTCTTTTGTTTATACATATGCATTCATTTCTCTTGGGAAAATACCTAGGAATTGAGTGACTAGTCATATCATAGTAGCATGTTTAACTTTTTGAGATATTGGAAAACTGTCCAAAGTGGTCATACCATTTTTCATTTCCACCAGCCTTGTGTGAGAGTTCCGGTTGCTTATAACACTTGGGATTGGCAGTCTTTAATTTTAGCCATTCTAATAGGTGTGTTTGGCAGCTCATTGTGGTTTTAATTTGCATTCTCCTAATAATTAATGATGTTGAACATATTTTGTGTACTTATTGGTTATCTATATATCATCTTTGGTAAAGTACTTTTTCAAATCTTTTGCCAATTTTTGTATTCTTTTTGTTTTTCTATTACTGTGTTTTGGGAATTCTTTATATATTCTGGATACAAGTCCTTTATCAGATGTGAGATTTGCAAATATTTTCTCCCAGCTTGCTTGTTTTTTCATTCTCTTAACATTGTCTTTCAAAAAGCACAAGTTCTTAATTTTGAAAAAGTTTAATTTATAAATTTTTAAAAATGGATTAAGCTTTTTATGTTGAATCTAATAACTCTGCATAACCCAAGGACACAAAAATATTCTTCTGTTTCCTTCCAGAAATTTTATAGTTTTATGTTTTATATTTAGGTCTGTGGTCCATTTTTAGTTAATTTTTGTATAAGGAGTAAGGTATAGACTGAAGTGTATTATTTTTGCATATGGATATTCAATTGTTCTAGCACCGTTTGTGGAAAAGAATATTCTTTCTCCATTGACTTATCTTTGCACTCTATTCTTTTTCATCGGTTTGTCTGTCTGTCTACCAATATCACGCTGTTGTGATTACTGTAGCTTTATAATAAGACTTGAAATCAGATTGTGCAAGTCCTCCAACTTATTTCTCTGTCTCAAAGTTGTTTTCCTATTCTAGGTCATTTGCATTTGCATATACATTTTAGTATATAGATAATGAGTTATGTATAGTTTTTATTGTAGAGTCAAAGTTGAGTCATTCTCAATAAATCATTTAGTTATTCTTTAGTTTCAAAATTAAAACAAAACAGTATCAAATAGAAGATTAGTTATCACACAGTTTTGATGGCTTTAACTAAACAAATGATTTCAGTATTCTGTGCCAGAAAAGAACTCAGCACAGAATTATGATTGCCTTTTTATATCATTTAAGGTTTTTTGGTTAGAGGCAACAGAAATGAAAAGTAGATTTATTGAAAAAATGCTTAGGGTGGCTCATGGAAGTGAAGGGTGAGCTGCTCTGAAAACCTTAGAGATGGGACCTAAGGACTTGATGTCCTCATGATTCTCTTAGCATTTTGTTTTTACATCTCTGGGATTTCATTTTCCTAAGCTGTTTCCTGTAGTGGAGCCCATGGCCTCCAAGAAGAACAACTTTCCCCACCAACTCCACTTAGGAAAATTCTGGAAAGGAGTCTGATTGGCCCAGCCTAGGTCACCCTCATTGCTAGGTTACTCACGGTTACTAGGGAAACAGGGATCTGTAATTGGTCAGCTGTGGAGTTGAGGTATTGTGGTAAGTAGTGTTCCCAAAGGAAGAGGATACCATTGTCAGAAGAAGTATGGAAAGTAGTTGTTGGGTACACAGACACAATGGATGTCCACTACCTTGTAGCACACATTGTGAAGAGAGAGAACTATTTGATGAATTCTCCTTGATACATACTACCATATACTATTGTTCCTACAAAGCTAATCTGTGAGAATATTTTTAAAAGTTCATGGAAAAATGGAATGAAAAAATAATACAAATCTTTCCATGAACTTTTTGGGGACCTCTCATGTTATTCTTGGGCCACATGGCATGTTATATATATAACACATAAAAGATGCCAGTTTTTACAACTTGGTCTTATATTTGTGAAATTATTACTGGTATCATTTTGTTTAAATATTATATGGCAGTTCATAATCTTTATGAATATTTTTCTCTGCTTTCTGTTTTAGGGTGCTGGGAATGTAAACAAGAGTAGAGTTCCTGATGGCTTTTAGTATATACTGACGTTGTGATGGCGTCTGAGACTGAGAAGACCCATGCTTTACTCCAGACTTGTAGTACTGAATCTCTTATTTCCAGCCTTGGTCTGGGGATATTTTGCCTAGTAGCTGAAAGACTTCTTCAGTTTTCCATAATTCAGCAAAATGACTGGGTTCGTGCCCTCTCAGATAATGCAGTACATTGTGTGATTGGCATGTGGTCATGGGCAATAGTCATTGGTATCAAGAAGAAGACTGATTTTGGAGAAATCATTTTAGCTGGATGTTTAGCTTCTATTATTGATGTTGACCACTTTTTTCTAGCTAGATCTTTGTCTTTAAAGGTAAGAAGCACATATGTTTATTTTTATGGTCTTTAATTTCTTTAGCACCATTATATCAATCTTCACAACATCATTTAGAGCTTGAGAGGATTAATTTTATTTTAAAATAAGAAAGTCCATTCATTCAAGTTTTTTGAGTACTTAATACTTCCCTGAAGATGCACACAGACATGTTGCCAATCAAATTATTTGCCATCACAAAGTGCTATGGGTGCACGTAGAGCAAGGACTGCACTAATTATTCTGCGTTCATTGCTGGCATACAGAGAATGTATTTAGCTGAGTCTTGAAAGCAATATTAGCAAACTGCTTTAAATTAATAAGTAGAGCAAGGACTGCACTAATTATTCTGCGTTCAGTGCTGGCTTACAGAGAATGTATTTAGCTGAGTCTTGAAAGCAATATTAGCAAACTGCTTTAAATTAATAAGGGTCCTTCTCAGAGCTGTCCTAGTTCTTTTTGTTCAGTGTTCTTTCTTCAGGACTACAATTAAGTTTTCCCCTTTACTCTTTATGTTTTATAGTTAGTATGAGAGGCTGGCCAGTTAGCTCAGCTGGTTAGAGCATGGCCTTGTAACACAAGGTCAAGGGCTCTATTCCCTGTACCAGCCAGCTACCAAAACAAACAAACAAAAAAGAAAATACAAACATTGTTAGTTTGCAGCTCCTAAGTGCTCCATAAAAGTTGAATAGGTTGGGCCAGCCCCTGGCTCACTTGGGAGAGCATGGTGCTGACAGCACCAAGTCAAGGGTTAAAATCCCCTTACAGGTCATCTTTAAAAAAAAAAATGTTGAATAGGTTTAAGATGGTTCACAGTCCTGGGTAATGACTTGAATGGATTCATTCCTCCAGTCCTTCTTGGGGCCTGCATTTTAATGGACTGGTGAGAACACAGTCCCTGGTAGAGAAATTAAGGCATTTCATTGAGGCATTAAAGGGTTTAGCTTTACAGTGCCCTGCCTTCCAACTGAACTAAACTTAAAACAGTGGTTTAGATAATATTTTCTAAATGTCAAAACATTTGCCTACCTTTTGCGTGTTTATGATCTGTAAACATTTCAGGAAAGAAATATAAACTCATAGAGCAAGGACTTTATCTACTTCATTAACCATTGGCCTAGAACAATGCCTGGCTCACCTACTAGGTGTTCAGTAACGTTTGTTGAACAAATGAGAAATTATCACTTCTTCTAGTTATGTGTACCAGGTATTTTTCAGGAATAGTCTCATATATTTAGAAACTTAATTAAGGAATCAGTAATTGCTGATTAAAGACAAATTTTAACTTTTTTGCTATAAGTAGATGCAACATAACATTTTTATGTTTGGAATGAGAAGACTTGAGTTTGAATCCTGGTTGTGTGGTTTTAGCAGAGTACTTTTTAAAGATTCAATTTTTTCATTAGTAAAGTATGAATTATAACATTACTTCATATTGTTCTTCTTTTTTTTTTTTAAAAAAAAGATGACCGGTAAGGGGATCTCAACCCTAGGCTTGGTGCTGTCAGCACCATGCTCAGCCAGTGAGCAAACCGGCCATCCCTATATAGGATCCGAACCCACGGCCTTGGTGTTATCAGCACCGCACTCTACCAAGTGAGCCACGGGCCGGCCCCACTTCATATTGTTCTTATGAGGGTTAAGTGAGCATGTTAAGTGACACGGACTGGTAAATAGTTAGCAATAAATGTTAGTAGAGATTGGGATAAACTATAAAGCATTATAAAAATGTGATTCATACATGTATTCATCTGGAATTTAACCATCCTGTTGTAATTTTAAAAAGCTTTTAGGCTTTATAGTATATCCTTTCATTGATCTTGAAGCAGTAGTGTTAAGAATATGAGCTATAGACTCAGACCTAATATCAAATCCCAGCTTGTCACTTATTAACTGTAAAACATGGGGAAGTTACTAGCCTAAGTCTCAGTTTCCTCCTCTGTAAAATACTACCTACCTTACAGTGTTGTTATAAGGATTAAATGAGATAGTACACATAAAGTATAGCATAGTGCTAGTATTGATCCTTATCCTTATCCTTATTTTTGAATGAAATATTAAAATTTTTTCACATTCATCATAAGGTGGTATGTGATTTTCAGTAATAAATATCAAAATTGAATAAGTATTTATGACAGTGATCTGTTTTTACTTCTACCATTCTATGATAATGCCATTTCCTTTTCATTATTCATTATTTTTCTATTAATGAAAATATACATTGATGTTTTGGAAATCAGCCAAACAACAAGAATTTATTTCTTTTCTTAGTATCTATTAATATAAATAGATATTAATTCGCAAATAAAAGTGTGAGGAATCAGTATCCCTCTAAACATATCCAGAGCATAACTGCTAATCATCTCAACACCAAGTTATTGCTTTATTACAAGTAGTGATTACCATAGGCTCTTTCAACCCACCCTGCTATTGAAAATCTTTTATGTTTTATTAAAAGTGTTAGTTTTGGGCTAGCCAGTTAGCTCAGTTTCGATAAGAGCATAGCCTTGTAACACCAAGGTCAAGGAAGGGTTCAGATCTCCAGACCAGCCAGCCTCCAAAAAGAAAAAAAATGTGTCAATCTTTCCAATCAGTTCTATGATTTATCTTTTACTAATATGGATTATAAACTAAACCCTTCCTATTATAGTACATGAAAGTGCTCTGTGGTAGAAGGGAAGAAATAAATTTAGCTGTAGAAGTTATTTATAGAAGTTGTCTTAATCTCATTAGAGGCTACGTTGTTGACCTCAAATTCATTTATTTAGAAATTAGATGCTGGCAACAATTGTGTGCCTTGTTCTATTCGGTAAAACTGACTTTAACATCAGAAAAATTACAGTTTATCTACTTGAAATAATCCTACTGTCATAAAATCTGTAGTTTTCCTGTGTGTCTTGCTTTTAATGCAAATTCTAGAACATTTGTTTTAATTTAGTTAGCTGATTGCATAGTATTATTTCTGCCTAGTTTGTAAAACATAAAAGATATACCTCTAAGTATAAAAATATATATACACAAGTTGTTCACTGCAGCATTATTTGTAATTGCAAAGTATTGGAAACAAATGATAGAGCTCTAACATGATATCTTTACTATTTCATTCCTTTACTTTTTTCAAAACCTCTTGCTGGGAATATAATGCTTCTCTTTTTGTTTTTTTACTTTTATTGCTAAGATTTTAAGGTTATAAAGTTTGTTCTTATCATTCTTTAAATTATCCCAGTTTCTGATTTGAAATTTTCATTATTAATTTTTAGAAACTCTATTATTCTGTTAGTATTTCCCCTTTCACACACAAGTTGTTTAATAGAAGAATTTTAAATTTCCAGATGGAAAGGACCTTTCTGTCTTTTTATTTTTTATTTTATCTTATTTTATTTATTTATTTATTTATTTTTTAATTTTTTTTTTCCTTTTTGTCTTTTTTTTTTACTGACTGGCAACGGGATCACAACCCTCGGTGCTGCGCCCGCACCGTGCTCAGCCAGTGAGCAGGAACCGGTCTCCACATGGGATCCGAACCCTCGGCGGGAGCGCCACCGCGCTCTCAAGCGGCGCACTTCTCCAGTGCGCCACCAGGCCGGCCCCTTATTTTATTTTTTTAAAGATGACCGGTAAGGGGATCTTAACCCTTGACTTGGTGTTGTCAGCACCACGGTCTCCCAAGTGAGCCACAGGCCATCCCTGTATAGAGATCCAAACCTGTGGCCTTGGTGTTATCAGCACCGCACTCTCCCAAGTAAGCCACAGGCTGGCCCCTTGTCTTTTTATTTTATTATTTGTAATATATCTTCTTTTTGAAATTTACTGATGTTTTCTTTGTGCCCATATTAATATATGATCAGTTCGTTTCATGTGCACTTGAGAAAGAATGTGCATTTCTCTGTTATCAGGATGTAAAGCTCCATAAGATCCATTTTATCAGGTCTTCCGTATCCTTACTTATTCTTGTCCACTTAATCTGTCTCCTATTATTTAGTTTCTCTGTCACCTTGTGTCTTTATAAAAGTTGTTGCTATATTACTTGATATATAGTTTTTTTATAACTGTCATATCTTTACTGTGAATTGTGGCTTTTAGTGGCTTTTCAATGTTACATTTATGCTTTCGGCTTGAATTCTACACTGCCTGATATCAGTATCACTACCTCTGTTTCTTATTATTTCCATTTGCTTGGCATGCCTTTGCCCATCCCTTTATATTTAGCTTTTCTGAATCATTTTTGGTGTGTTTTTAATATACAACATATAATTGGATTCACATACATTTTTGAATTTCTGATTCAAGATATTTTTTCATATCCACACATGGTTGTTTGAGGATATTTAATTCAGTTTAGAGTCTTGTAATATAATTTTCTTAGGCTTTATGTAGCATTTTTTTGTTGTTTGTTTGGGGGAACAGGATTGAATAACTAAGGCGTTTTTATTCTATTTTCTTCCTATACTAGCTTTTTATAGATTTGGTCAGTTTCATTACTTCATTTCATGATATTACATGATTCCTTATTTTAAGGCATTCTTGGCTAAGGTGGTATCAGCAAAAGGACTGATGTTGAGCTAAATATATTGTGGACATAGAATTTAAAACTGGAGACAAAACTGGAATAATAATACAGAAATGTTACACGTTCTGATGAAGTGGAAGCAAACAATTTAAAATATGGTGGACAAATGGGGTGTTGGGAAATATAGGAAAATAGTCAGGGCCTCTCAGAATCTTGCAGGTGTTCCTTGGTTATTGTCTAATGTAATTGAGCATGTGCATCCAGATGTCCTGGGTTATGGACTTAAGTATGAAGGATGAGTAGCTCTGATCCACAGGGTCCCCCACCCCCAGGATACCCCTGGAGGGGGGCCATGGGGAGGCCGCCACCACTGCTGCTGCTGGAGGCTGCTGTAAGCTACTGCTGCTGCTGCTGCTGAGGACTGAGCTCATGTTGTCTGCCAACAGCTCCCAGGATCTTTCCCAATTACCTAGTGTGGACCTGTGTGTGAGGGGTCTGGTGACCCAGACTGCCATGTGAGGGGTCTGGTGACCCAGCCTGGCATGTGAGGGGCCTGGTGACACAGTCTGTACAATGGGTTTGAAGGGTCTGAGCCCTAACTCTGACAATATAAATGGAAACTTAGTATAACTAAGATAACAAAACATTTTGGCTTTAGTTATGATTTGCCTTACTTGACAAGTGGCATAGTCATGTAGCTTTACAATTGGCATAGTTGGCAGGCTTCTGACATTAGCCCTAGCTTTACATGGGGGAAAGAGGAGCACAGAATAAACTCTTTGATGTTCAGTCAGTAAGTGGGAGTTAAAGAATACTAGTTTGAGGAGTTTATAAGATTCCTAGCTTAAAGGTGGTCTGGTTTTACAGTGTGACAGGTAAAGTCTTCAAAATGGATGACTGTTTTTTAATGAGGTGGGAAGATTGTGTGTCCTTTGATTTTTTGGGTATTTTTGGACAGGAACCTAAATTTTTTTCTTTTCACTACTACATCTCCCCTTCATCACCCAATCTCCAGAGGGTACCTCTCCCTTCCTTTTTATCATCTTCTCCCCCAGAATTAATGCAGGATTAATGACTTTCCCTGTAGTCAGTGCTCTCATCTACCAGGACCCTTTTCAGTATTTTCACATTTAGATTGAACTTTCTCTTTCTAGTGGTAATTTTAGATAAATCTTACCTCTTCCACACAGCTTTTCCTGGATTGTGGTGGGAGTATGAGAAAGAAAGCTCACTGATTTGGTGTTTATTTTAATACTTACAAATAATTTGAAGTTTGGGCATTCTCTGACTTCTATTTATGCTGAGGGTTTGAGGTTTTGTATAACTTTATTTGTGTGGTTTTTTTGTGTTTTGAAGTTGGCTGGTACAGGGATCAAACCCTGGACTTTGATGTTATCAGCACCATGCTCTAACCAACTGAGCCAACTGGCAAGCCCCCTTAAATTTCTGTTGTTTAAGCCACCCAAGCTATGTTTTGTTCCTTTTTTCTTGCTGTCCTGTAGAGAGATCAAACTCCAGACCTTGGTGTTATTGGCACCACACTCTAACCACTGCTGACTGCACACTCTAACCAGCTGAGCTAACTGGCCAGCCCTAAATGTTATAAGTAAATTCTGAAATTATTCATGGCTAATATAAAATGGTTATAACAAAAATATTCCTTTTCTTCTTCATTAATCAAAGAATACTTTATTTGGTTGTGAGGTTTTTTTTTTTCAGTGCTCTTGAAGGCCCCAGACAATTCTTTAAAAATCCAAATTACACAAACCATACATTTGGGATGTAAATTATGTTAATATTGTGACTTTTCTAAGCAAATAATAGGAAACTTTATAAAATGAATTACCATATTTCTGAGACCACCTTGATTTCATTTTTAACTTAGATGATATCCTGCCCACACTTTTATCTTCTTTGCTTTGTACTTAATTTTGGTGTATGTATTGAGGTAGAATAGAAAATCTTTCCTTTGCATTTCCAATAGACTCTGGAAAATATTTTAAAATATTAAGAAGCTATAAAGTTTTGTTTTGCCAAGAAAATGATACTAGCTACCACTTCCCCCTTTCAGGCTGCTTTGACTCTTCCACGAAGACCTTTCCTTCACTGTTCTACTGTGATACCCATTGTGGTTCTGACCCTGAAGATTGCTATGCATGTTTTCAAGCTCAAAGACTCATGGTGCTTTCTTCCCTGGATGTTGTTTATATCCTGGACCTCACACCATATCCGAGATGGAATTCGTCACGGCTTGTGGATATGCCCATTTGGAAAAACTTCTCCTTTGCCATTCTGGCTTTATGTAATAATCACATCATCTTTACCTCACATCTGTTCATTGGTTATGTATTTAACAGGGACTAGACAAATGATGTCTTCAAAACATGGAATTCGTATTGATGTCTGAGGTAACAATATGGCAGTCTTAGAGAAGCAGATAGTTCAGATAATAATAATTAAGGGTAGCCAATGTTAAAAGGAATTTTTAAAAACATAGTTAGGTACTTATATTGTTTAATTATTATAATTCCTAAATCCTCCTGCTCAGGAGACATGTACAATTTTTTAAAAAATTAGATTTGTTATAATTCTACTTTCTCTTTTCTATGACATTCGAATGCAATACCAGAGTTTCATTTATTACATGATATATTTTTATTGCTTCTTTTTAAAAAATTAGATTTGTTATAATTCTACTTTCTCTCTTCTATGACATTCGAATGCAATACCAGAGTTTCATTTATTACATGATATATTTTTATTGCTTCTTCTGTTTATCTGGCTTTACTAGTAGTTCTGTTAGATTAATATACAATACATTTTCTGGAAGTATACCTTTGAGTTAGTCTATTTCCTGATGAAAAACAGCTAAAATTAGCATACTTGGATCCTCATTTTCCTGAGATATTGAAACAGTGAAATGGCCAAAATAAATAAGATTATGAATAAGCTGTATAGTGAATGCTGATATGTATTTATTTCCATATATGTTGATCCTGACTAAATTTAATATGCAAAATTCTTCATGAATTATGATTACTGGCAAAATCTCTTTAGAGCACTTGTGATATATCATTATAATATTCATAAAAGATAGTAATTAACATTAGATGTGGGTTATTATTTCAGATATCACTTTAGGAAATAATTATTATAACATGTTGGCTATTGTAACATTTTACTGAAGTAGTATTTTTTTAGTATATTTGTCTAAAGTCTCATGTGTTAGTGTTTTAGCTGTTTTGAAAAACATAACTAAATTTAAGTATTTGTTAACAAAGAGCATTAACAAAATATTGATACTTGGGTCATAACCATAGAATTTGAATTCACACAAAAAAGTACTGGCCAGTAATGTCATTTCAAATGTAAATCCCTGAATGTGCCATTAAAACTGTTTTAGTTGCTATCAGTTTGTTTACATACTATTTTAAAATATTTTACCACTTAAATCAGTTTTTAAAAATCTGCTAGATACTGAGAAACAAAACCTTTTTTCAAAATAAAGTAGTTTTAGGAAATTTGCTTTTGCCTTTGTTATTACCAGTTGATCTTCTGTTAAAATGATTAACCTTTATCAGAGAAGGAAAATTTAGTTGCCGTAAATTTTACATTTGCACAGTCTCATGTTACTTTGGTATTAGTCAGTGTCCCAAAGGTACCTGCTTTTCTTTGTGGCATATGTACCATCCGCTGTCTTCAAACTTTCTTACAGATTTGTAATTTATAATGCTAGTGATTGTGTGCCTTATTCTCTGCGAAATGATGGATGATTCATAAAGAAATGCTCTATCCAAAGCAGATTTTTTTGTATATATTAAGTTAAACAGAACTCTATACATTTTTATAAAAGTTCAGGGTCTTTAGAGAAATAACTTTTTTTCTTGTTAACAAATTTGTTGCAATTTATTATATTTTACAGTCTATTAGATCTTATAGTTTATTATTTATTATGTTTCAAAAGTAATTGTGTAAATTTGGTTGGTATAATAATAAATATTATTTAGTGGGGGTACATTTAATTAGAGATTGTTAAAGAGCATCTAATTTCAGAAATCCATGGAAATAAAGTCTTTATCTTGTGTAACTTTTTCTGGCTAAATTACAAAACCCTTTCTACTCTTTCTTTCCCCATACTAAAAAAAAGGAATATCATTAAAATATAGGGCCTTATTTAAGAATGTCACATTGGTATTTTGGGGGTTGTCCTAACTTTCCTTTATCAGAATGGGAATTTACTTTGCATATTTTATGTGTGGGGTTATCTCAGTTCCCACCTCTACCATGAGAAATGTTCTTTGTCCTCTAAATGGACCCTTAAAGCTATGATTATAACCTCTAGAAAACTAGCAGCCAACTTCCCCAGCCATCTCTTTTGTTCTTGCTTGTAATGAAAGAATTTGTGTCAGTAGGGAGTGAAAGTTGGCTTGTACCTTATTAACGTGTGTTTTCTCCATCCTCTAGACATCCTCCATTCTCTCTTGGCTGTTTCACTGATCTCACCTTCCAATCTACTATTTTCCTGAGCTGTGTTATTCATGCTGGCTTCGGGATAACTTCCACCACTGAGCTATTTTCTACTCATCCCAATGCATATAGCTTTCTTTAGTAATAGGCTAAGAACCCCTATTGTGAATGGGTAGAAACTCCCATTTATCCTTACCTCTACTTTTTTTTTTTATTGTAAATAGACAATTTATAATTGTATAAATTTATGGAATACAAAGTGATGTTATATTTTATGTACACAATATGAAATAATTAAATCAAGCTAGCTAAATAACAATCACCTCAAACACTTGGCATTTTTTGTGGTAAAAACGTTTGAAATTTGGATTGCTTGGGACCCATCCCCAGAGTTTTGATTTAGTAGGTTTTGAGAATTTACATTTCCAACAAGTTCCTAGTTGATGTTGATGCTGTTCAGGAATCATACTTTGAGAACCACTGCTCTAGACTCATCCTGCTTCTTTATTTTCCTCCCCTCCCTTTTTATTGAGCCAACTCTTTGCTTTATTGATATCTTTAATTTTTCTTAACCTTCCCAGGTCCATCAGTCATCTGCTGGAATCATTTAACCCTGTCCTTGGTCTACCTGCACAGTACTTAGAAGTTACTGTACACTTCCTTGTGTACTATCCAATTAGCCAGTCCAGAATAATCCATGTAGTCTGCTTTCCCCAGTTCTGCTTTAGGCCATATGTCTTTGAAGTAGTTATGGAAGCATGCTGTCTTTGTGCTACAGTTCTTACCTTCTAACTTCAGCTGGATACTTAATAATACTTTGCTTACTACTGAACAATTTTTTCCCCAGATCTTGTACCATATAGGCCAAGCCTCAGAATGTCTGCTGTGCCTTATTTCTGATAATGGGACAGACTTGGATGGGTCCTTAAGCATAACCAATTACACTGACCTCATGACCTCACTCTGTTACCCAATACCCCCAACCCTGTTGACATAGCACAGAAGTGTGCCCTTGACCCAAGTGTTGCCAATTGAGAGTAGGTTAGAATCTTCAGAGATGGCCTGGTAAAGGAGCTTTGACCAACAGCATGACTAAGGTAGACCATAGAGAAGAGAAAGCAGACAGCACAGGCAACAGAGTATGCAGAACTATTAAAAGTTTATATTTTCTTTCTTTTTTTTAAAAAAAGATGACCGGTAAGGGGATCTTAACCCTTGACTTGGTGTTGTCAGCACCACGCTCAGCCAGTGAGCGAACTGGCCATCCCTATATGGGATCCGAACCCGTGGCCTTGGTGCTATCAGCACCGCACTCTCCCGGGTGAGCCACAGGCCGGCCCTATATTTTCAATTTATACTAAAACCCAGGGTATTTTCAGTCAGGCCCATGGACATTTGTTGGAGGATGTACTTTTTACTGGGAGTTTTGGTTGAGGGACTTTGTGTTTCCCAGAGCTACAGAGTGATGAATGAGGTCTTTCAGTCCTGTTGTGTTCTGCCTTGGACATGCCCAGTGATTATCAAGCCTACTTTTCCAACTTTTAAGAGAATTTCAAATTCTTGCTTTTATACCCTATTCCAAAGATGATAACACAAGGTTTTTTCTTTTTTTCTGTCACATTATCTGTATGCATAAAGTTCTGCAGGTACAGTCTGATATATCAGAACTATGAGGATCATTGGCACCTTGCACAATTTAATGGCAACAAGGCAAACATCAGGATGATAGAGTTAGGTGACATACTCAAACCTGTGGGTGTGGAATTCTATAAAAATGTTCAGATGTAACTGTGTCATATTTTAAGTGCCATGCCTCTGAAGCATGAATAATGGTGTATATTGTGTTGTATTTTAAACTCTCCCTTACAGGTAAACTTGGCCACTTAGCAATCTATTTTATATAATTGTACCAGATTATAAAGCAGTAAAATGCAGATATTATAATGAATCTAAATGTCTAGCTCACAAATTAGAAATCAGGAAAGTCTTCTGATTTATGGGAGGGAGGTATGACTGTCACTTCTTAATGGCTGGTTTGGGTACCATACTGAGGAGTTTAACTAGACTGAGCAAGCACTTCGAAAATTTTGCTGGTTTTTTCCATGCTGTGGACTGCAAATGTACAGGACTGAAAGCAGTTGTGTTTATGCATCATTTGGCAATCAGTGTCCATTGCTTTGTATGTTTTGTGCCCTCTTCTAGATGTCGTTACACTTTCCTGTAGGGCAGACAAAGAATGTAATGGGATTTTATCAGTAGGCCAGAGCATTTAGCCAAATGTCCGTCATATGATCCCTGATGTACTGACTGATATTTATATATATGGCTGATAATAAATAACATCTGTCAAATGTGCAGATAGGTTTCCTTTTTTTTAAAAAAAAGATGACCAGTAAGGGGATCTTAACCCTTGACTTGGTGTTTTTTTGTGAATTTATAGATACAGTTTTGTGATTGGGGTACTTTTTACTTCTCAGTAACATCAAGAAATGCTTATTTCTGATTATTGCACATTATCACAAGTATTGCAATTTTATGTTATAGAATAATCTATTTAAATGTAAATCTCAAGGTATTCAGTCTAAGTAAAATCAAAATATAACCACAATGAGTTAGATTCTTGTTTTGGCAAATTTTGAAAAGATTAATAGTACTCAGTGTTAGCAGGAGCTGGAAATGGGCATTGTTGGTGGAACAATAAATTCACATTTTCTTGCCGGAGGGAATTTGGTAATATGTTTTAAAAGTACATGCCATTTTACCCTGAAATTCCAATTTTAGGAATTGATTCTAAGGAACTAAACGGTAAGTATAGAAAGAAAAGGGATTTCTGTTGGTTGCCTAAGATGGAAAAAACAATGAAACTGGAAACCACCTGAAAGTCTTTGACTAGAGGATCAGTAACCTAAATTATTGTGTAAACAATGGAATACAAATAGCTAGAATACTTTAAATGTACGAAGTAGATCCCTGTAATGATATGCAAAAATGTCTGTATGAAGTATTCAAAAAATAAAAACCAGTAATAGAATAGCGTGATTCCAGTTTTGTAAATAGGCATATATGTATGTGTAGAAAACAATTCTGAAACCTAGCTACCAAGCAGTTAAAAATGGTCATCTCTGGAGTTGGGGTGGGGGGGACA